GTGACTGTATGTTTTGTGGGTGAAACGCGGCATCCAATTGCGCACAGCAGTGTCCCACAAATAGCCAGAGTGACCAATTTCTTTTTTTTAAAAGGATTATTACTCCGGTAAAACGATCTGCCAATCAACTAACAACCTGTTCTTACTAACTGCTAGGTGAACAGAAGCAGGTGGAGTAAGGAAATTTGCCCAACGTTTCACCCTGCCTGGGAATCAAACCCATGTCCTCTCGCTTGCGAGGTGAGTGTTTTAACCACTAAGCTACAGGATTCCATAATGACTGAGTGTTTCTGAAGAGGGATCCTGTCAGTAAATCAATACATTCAATTACTAGAATTCCTGCTCCGAAGAGCAGTTCGTGGTTTGCGGAGATCCCATGAAAGGGTCATATACAGTTACTGATAATATTTCCTGTTAGTAATTGAGTCACTATGAGTGAATCCCTTCTTAAAACACCTCTGTGGCCTGACATTTCTCATGCTCTTAGCCTTAAAATAGTTGCTCTAAAATATAATAAAAAATGGATTTGAGAACTAAGGACAACATCATCCCAAATTAGGAATGAATTTAATAATCTTCCAAAATTGTGCATAATTTCGCCCACAAAACAGTATATCCTGTGAAGCGCTTTGAGACATCTCAACAACGTAATAATAATAATAATCATGATCCTTGCATTTGATATAGGACTTTTCACATCTTCTAGACGTCTCAAAGCGCTTCACAGAATACTGTAAAGTGAATTGACTGTATATTTTGTGGGTGAAACGTGGCAGCCAATTGCGCACCACAAGGCACTATATCAAACGCAAGGATTATTATTATTATAATTTAAAATTTGAAGGTGTGTTGGGGTGGAGATTGGAATTGCTGCGATATTATCACGAGTGATAATTGTCACATTAGCCAACAATGTGGTAAAAAGTGGTGATTGCTTACTATTGACCTGTGTTTCTCAACCTTTCTTGGTAACAAGCTCAGTGTCTTGGTGTGGGCCACTAGAAAATGAACCTTTCAGGTCACTCTATCTGAGGAATTGTCTGGTACGAACTGGCCATGAGATAAGCAGAGGCCTGGAACAGTAGTGGGACAGGACAACTGGTCCTGCTGTTTTGTCAGAGCAACAAATGCTCCTGAGCTGCAGGTGACCAAGCTGAAGTAGCCCAGTTCTAGTGGTTTTGACCTCTACAGAAACCAGTGCTGTTTTATTTGTATGCATGCTTCTGGCTCCTTTAAGAGATAACTTGCTGCGTGTACAGTTCACCGAACATTCTTTTCCAGCCATCCAGAAACCTGTACAATTTTGTTTTGGAGATGAAAGCATTACCACTGCAATTCTGTCACTTTGGTCAGTGTGAATGAATTTTCTGAGGCTGTCTGCCAATCCGTTTCCAGATTTGCAATGCTGTGCCCTCAAGGCAGAAGCTTCATCTGCTTCCTTCTGCTCTCTGGTGTGCACTCAATCCTCTCCAACATCTCGCAGAGACTCTTCAGCAAACTGTTTAAAGGCTTAAGGGTATCACGTACATTCACAGGCTTATCTCAGCTGTAGAGGTGGAGTAACTGCCAGGCTAGCGAAATCTAAACGGTGGCATTAAGTTTAGCAAATACTCTGGACAAGACCATGTGACCTATTTCAGCACAAGATGGAGACCAATCAACAAAGGTGCCATCAGGGAGAAGGATAGGAGGAGGTCAATTAGTCCCCTTCAAGTGGGCAACGAGTCAAATCTCCATGAGGGCTCAAAGTGACTTATCTCGCACCTATCTCCACCACCTTCCCTGCCTCCTTGCTGCTCTTCAGGCAAGAGCTGAAGACATCTCAACAACATTCTTCAATGGGAAAATGGGATATGTTTAGAAACCATCAAACCCTCGTTCCCAAAGTGGAACTTTTCGGTATAATTCGGTTAATGGGGGGTGAGCAGGTCTAACCTCGCTAACCGATAAAGAAAATTTAAACATCATTTTGACTCATGTTTGTATGTCAGTTCTGAGCTTGAGATACTTAAAATTCTATGGTTAGCAATGTATTCTTCAAAATAATCCAGGGTTAAAGCCCCAGACACAGATATATAATGAGGGACTTTGGGCTGGAAACTACATCAGCAAAACAGTTCTGGAGTAAAGGGGTCTGTTGGACTCATTCTATAAAACCTTTTTGTGGCAAAACATCAACAGATGAAAACTGCATTATTTAAGTGATATTCTCCAGAAGAGTTAAAATTTGCTGTCCAGTCCATAGCCAAATCGGAAGCCAGTGCCCAAGGGCACTGTGACCCCAGTTCAACAAGCACAAAGTGATAATTTCCCCTTGATGTGGTGGCCATATATATGGTGCTCTCAACAGGAAATACCAGTGTCAACATAGAGTGGAGAGACAGGAGAGTCATGCTGAAAAGTGTTGGAGAGATGCCCTTAGTACTTTATGTCTTGCAACATTGCAGGATTTTTTTTTAGGCCGGAGGCAACATTGCTCGATGGAGACTAAGAAGTAATGGTTGGATGGAGGTAATGTGCTGGGTCAGTGTTGCCAATGGCTTCAGATTGTCCTGCCTGAACATGAGGATGGCGTTCAATCATCTGATGGCAAATGTAAGAGTGAGATAGACAGAACACAACAAGCCTAACCACAGCAAATGGCAGAGGCTTCCTGAAGCCTGCCTCGTGGACTGGGCTCCTGTAAGAAAATAACTAAGTTTTCGTACTAGTGGAGCTTGTTCAGGACTGTTATAAGCAATGATTTATTCAATTAACTCTTTACTTCAATAAATATTTCATTTCATGTCACTGAGAAAAAACAAACAACTGTTTAACACATCAGAACTGCAGAAAACTGCTTCCATATTAAACTAAATTTAAGAATTTTCCAAAATTCAGCACAATCTTAAATTGCAAAATGTTGAAGAATGTTGGAAATCAGAAGATTTTTGTTGGATCACAGGTATTTCTGGAAGGGCAGACTGGTAAGGAGAGCTGAGTTTGGCTGGATCATAGAGGATGTAAATAAAACAATCTCCTACAATGAATTTTCCATTGTAAAGACTATAGGAATAATCACAACTAGCTGAACTTTTTGTCTACGTTTCTTTTTAACTGTGTCCATGTACAGTGCTTCCAGTACTTCTTTGAACACTAAACGCCCTTTGCTGGTTTGAGACTGTGTACACAGGTACACTTTTATTAGAAGAAATTAACAGAAATATCTATGTGCCTTTCAAATGTTCAATATCATAAAACATACACAGCCATTCAACGCTTCATTATTCAGAGTAGAATAACTTTGACTTGTTTCAAATCTTGCTATAATTTAAATTTCGCTGGAAATGGACACTTCAAAGCGATCCATGAAATGGCTATTATGCTGGAATGCATCCAGATTAACTGCTCAAGTAAACATGAGTCCATTAGTGCTATGGGTTCATGCTAATGGAGTACAACAATGTAATAGGAGAGGAGAGCTAGAAAGCATCTTGAATAATTCTCACGCCAACGTATAATCAAGTGAAGAGTGTTTCTTTTCTCTGGTGGGTGGTTTACACCCACTTAAATTTAAGACTTGTGTGATATCATCAGAACAACAGAAAAATATATTAATGTTCTTCCCCCAAATGACATGTTTATCTAGGCCGTACCAGGGGAGAAAAATTACGACACAACTGAAGAGCGATGAGACCTGAGACATTCACAGTCAAAGCTCATTCCTACCCTGGCATCTAATATATACATTAAATGTGCATAAATACATTCAAAACAGAACTCTAAACTTCCATCAGTTGTCTCTATATGTGTGTAAATCTATTAAAGCCATGTTACATCATTTTAATAGGTCTGAAAGCACCGCTGAGCTGTAAGTATCAGGAAGCTCCTAGGCATTTCAATGGTAAGTTATGTAACCAGACCAGTAATGGCACTGGAATTGGAGGGTAAAATCAGTTTGAGATCTCATTCCTATGCACGTGTCTTGAGTAGCTTAGGGTAAGGCTTCACCCTGATGTGCCGATGATCAAGTAGCTTCCTGACACCCATGCCCAGGCTCATGAATAAAGAATGGCTGTTGGAACACGGTGCAGGAGGGCAGACGGTACCTATTCAACTGGATTCCCATAGGAGTCAGAGGCTTCAGGAGAGGAGGAGAAATTATAGGAAAATTCAAACTGGATCAACATTAATTTTTTAGAGGGAGGAGTCAATGTATCAGCAAGAATTAAACCACAATATTCACTAGTGTAGGCAGGTTACATTGCAGTGGTAACTATTAACAATTAATAAGAAAGTACTAAATAACAAATTCTTAGAGCACTTAAATCCCATCATCACCACCATATAGATATTTAAGGAGAAGAAAGTTTAATTTGCAAGGCAATAGAATGCTTCATTTTTCTGCGGCATAAGCCAGCGAATTACCAACAGCATTTTTGTGCAAATAGCACTCTGTTACCTATTGAATCTGATGCCTGATATGACTGTTGTCAGTGACTGGGTCTTCCTGTTTCTATGTTCACTGTAATTCTAATACCTTCTACAGGCCTTTTTACATCTGGGGGAGGAGCAGGTGATGAAAACCTATCAGGCTGTTCTACATTTCTGTCAGGCTAGATCCCTGAGGGATGATAGTGCTGCAGACATTGCGACACATACACATAAATCATTACAACTTTTATAAAGCTCTGATATGTCCTATTGGAAATGGCATTGTTATGAATCTGAGATAAATTGCAGGAGATCAGTTTTAGTGGATGAGACATTGTTGCCTCAAATTGGCATATAATATAATAGCCAAGATACAACAACAGTCCAAGCATCAAATAAAATGGTTCAGCCACATACGCGATCCCTTTACCAATATTAGGAATGTCCTTTCTGTAGATATTAAGTGATGTCAAACATATTTTGAGGCTGTCTGGCAAACTAAGCACTCAGAGAAGTGACAGCTACTTCAATTGGTAATGTTTGAGCCAGTTGCCTCAGACTAATAGACTCTGGCAGTTGCTACTTACGTCTGTCCTGCTGGGCTATTTTCAGAAACAAACACACTGTAGGACACGTTGGTGAACTGTGGGGGTCTGGAGCCGACCAGAATGAAAATAGATGCATAAGGACCTTTGTTGCCTCGTCTGTCGACAGCAAGCACTGTTAGCACATATTCATTGTGTCTGAGCAGAGTCAAGCCTGTGGTCCTGATGATGCCTGTGCTCCTGTCAACTTCGAATCGCGCTTCGCCGCCTGCAAGTGCCAAAGTTGTGACATGTTAGGTGCACGAAGAGAAAGCAACTAAACAGGAGTGTTCAGTTGCTGGATTATTCTGATAACGTATTCTCATTATACAGATTCACTTTGCATGCCTTTAGATTTCAAACATTGAGTGGGACACAAAGCTGTTTGGAAGACTACTTGAAGACATTAATTCAATTTTATCTTTCGCGTGAGGGAACATCAGTGAAAATCATTATTTCCACAGACCAAATGCAGATGACTTTCTTGAGGTATGAGAAAACTTTTTTTTCAATTTTCAATATAATTCGAGCATTATGAGTAGTCAATGAACAAATAGTCAAGTGATTTAAGATGTTCTGTAAGTGAAAAGCGCTACATAAATGCAAGTTGTTGTTGGTTGTGGCCCATCGGGTTCTGTGATCAGTGACTCTACTCAAGATTTATCTGGTTAGACTCAATTCTGGAGACTGCTCAGGACATATCCTCTATGCATGAACTAATCTGGGATACCCAAGGGTGTTTTCATTACAATGACATCTTAGCGATGTTCCCATCTTGAAGCTTGCAGGATTTCATTCTTTCTAGATTTATCCAGAACAATCTGCTGCTTAGTACTCAGTGATTGTACTTTAACATGGGGCTTCTACAAATTTCCCGTGATGGCTTAGTGGATTTACACTGAACCATCTAAACCAGGTAGGTCCCAAGTTTGATCTCCAGCTGAGCTGTGTCCCAGATGACATGATAGTTAGGGTTTAAAAATTGCTTTCTGCAAGTACCCTTAGACTAGGAAAAGGAAAAATATGCCAGGATTCCGGCAAGTTGTTATTGTTATTTACAGCCCATTGGGTTCACAGAGATCCCTAAGGAAGGTGAATGTGCAATAATGTGTAGGGACACTGAGCAACTGAGCAAGGATAGAACTAGGCTTTACTGTAATGTTTCTATGGGGAAATATCCAGAATTAACTTATAACAAATACATAATCCTTGCATTTGATAAAGGTCTATAGTATTGAGAATGTCTCAAAGTGCATCACAATGTATCTGTAAAGTGTAGTGACAGTATTTATAGATAAATGCAGCAGCCAATTTGTACACAGCAATGTCTCACAAACAGCCATGGAGTAACTAACCAATTTTATTTGGGGCTTGTTGGCCAGGACACCTGGAGAAACTCCCTTCTCTTTTCAAAAAGTGCCATGGGATCTTTAACATCTATCTGAACAGGCAGGTAGGATTTCAGTTTAACTTCTCATCCGAAGGATGCACTTCTGACCTTGCAGTGCTCCCTCAGCATTGTATAGTTATGTCAGCCTAGATTATGAGCTAAAAGTTTTGATGTTGGAGTGGCATTTTCAAACCAAGACTCATTTGGAAACCATGGCAAGAGTGGGCAATAATCGTGTGTGAATTAATCAACATTAAAAAATCAAGTAAGTTATAAATGTTAATTATTCTTTGATTGATCAAATAAACATTGCACCCACTCAAGCTACACAAGAAAATTAATAACATCAGAGTTCATTAAAACAATAAGGTTTAAGAGCAGGCAGTACATCCCTGGATTATACAAACTCATTTATCTTTCATCACTGACTGGTGCCATTGGGGTCCCATTCATTACACTGTGATCGTAAACAAATTCACTTACCTGTATTCCAGAAGTTATTATATATTATATTAGTACCCGATAACATTTCAAAATGAATCATCATTTTTATAAATGCAACTTTTCAGCATAAATGACTTTGGTAAGTCCTTTAATACAGACACACGGGACTAGAAACTATCTGGTCTCTCCCAAGTGAAAAAAAAACCTTACGCCATTCTCTCATACCCTTCGATTAGCTATCCAATTCTCTCTTAAATTTAAAGCTGCATTTAGTCAAAAATGGAAAAAAACAAAGCACTGGTTCTACAGGACTAAGATTTAATAAACAAATGTTCAATGCAGGAAACCAGCTACATAAATAACTGTTGACCAGAGCATGCTCATAGACTGGTATTATTAATACATTATAGCACTGAATGTAGCAGAGCTCCTGAATATCTCTCAGCGTACATCTAGTCATCCAGTGACCGTTATACCCCACCGCACAATAATTCCACCACCGCGTATTGCAAGAGCTGGGAGAGGAAACAGTAGAACTGGTCTGGCCCATAGAACTGCCATGTGATGTTCACTTTGACCCTCCCGACTCCTTAACACGTTTCACTGATCTAACTCTATCTCTCAAGACAAAATTGCTTTGCAATAGCAGTGCCAGCTACTTTTTTTTTCCTTTGTATTTTCCACCAAACCTCCCATCCGTCCATCTGTGCAGCATTTATTAATAAAACACATGTAAAACAGAGACTCGGTGGAATTATTATTATTCAGAAATGCAGTCAAAGCTACCCAGTGGCACAGGTGGTAGAGGACCTGCCTCCCCACCAGATGGTGATGGCTTCCATTCAAAGGCTGCCTACCTGTCATTTATTTACCATGCCTTGGACCAGAGTCCTCCCCAGACTGCTGGATAAGAGGCCCTGGGCCTTACTAATAGGGGTATGAGGGGAGGAAGTAGACAAGACTATGGCCCATAATGTCCCATACTCTCAGCTAAAGGAACTTTCAATGGAAATACTATATCATGTACTTCAATGTGAGGCTAAAGCTGCAGATTTCTATTATCTTTATGATAATATCATCTTGATGTAATAGTTAATAACTATTGTGTTGAGTAATCATGAATCTTTTAACTGGCTTCCTGGGGCTGTGTGAAATTAAATAGTGTAGTGTGTGTATAATGTTGTTTCAGCCAATATCTCTCCAGCTCCCAGTCCGCTCAGTCATGCAAACCTTCCATTAATCTCCAGAAATACATTCAAAATGAGGAGCTAGATATATTTTCCACCATTCCCTCCACTGCTTTATTATACAACAAGATAGAAACTGGCAGAGAATAAATCCTTCTCCTGACTCTGGTGCAATTTTCAGAAAGGCGCTATATAAATGTAATTTTGTTGTTGTTGTTGTCCAAACACTGAGAGCAGATTTACCACTGAGTGATAAGACACAGGCTTTCACCAGTCATTCCTGAACCAACAACCTTCTGATCGTGCTTGAGGGTAGGTATTCAGCAGAGCATAAGCCCTTCCCCTCCAGGGAGAAAACTGGAAGGGACAATGGATTGGGAGAAATACACACAATGACAGGGAGAGAGAGCAGAGAAATGAAAACCATGACACATACCTTACCGAAAAAAAGGAGATAGTTGTCATAGCAAAAATAAATAATCTTACAAGAAATTGTTACTATTTTCTGTGTGCGCTCTTACCCTCTTTTAGAAAGTATTCTATTCCATCATTGGCATCTTCAGTGAAGTCCCAAGCAGAAAGCTGGAAAACAGGGGTACCCTTGGGAACATCTGGAGATACAGTTGCCAAATAGGGATATAGCGGCATTGTCCACTCTGGGAAGCTCTCTCTCAACACATTGATCGTCAAATGGTATAGATACCAATCATCACCTGCAGAAAAATAACAGTCACTTCACTTATTTTCACATCCAAATAAGTCATGGTGAGTTTAAGAAACAAAAACAACTTGCACTTATACGGTACCTTTATGAATATGGGAAGAAAGTTACAAAGTGCTGCATAAAGATGAGCAAAACAATACAATACAAATTTACATTTATTTAGTTGGACTTCCATGTCAGAAGGACGTCCCAAGGCACTTAACAGTCCTGGCTTGGTTGACAGCCGTGGGGGTGGGAGTGGAAAGATGCCCAAGGGCGTGGTCAAAGAGCAGCGAGGAAAGGAGGAGAAATTTGAGGATGTTCACTGAAGATCAAAGTTGTTTTTTCACAGATCTTAAAAAGAATTTCCCACAAAATTGCACAATCTTAAGCTTTACGACAGATTTTTCTTATGAGCTAAGACTAGAATTTTGGACATAATGTTTATTGCAAAAGAAAACACTCCAAGATGAGTTATTTCAGCAAAGGTTAGATACAGGGTGAAGATATCTTTACACTGGCTTAATAATGTTTCACTTCCTTAGCCTTAGAAGACTGCCTCCTATTGCATTTCAATTTCCCATGTCAGGCTTTGTGGGTTCTTTCTGTGAGACTGTCCATTTAGTGCTGAATTATAAGCAGATTTGAATTGTGGGACCATAACCAGTTGAAATTACTTAGATTCATTTCCATTATGAATCTTTTGTAGACAGGAGAAAAAGATGATTTCAGGCCAGCAACTTAGCTGGATGGTAATTCAGGTCCCAGAGGAAAAGGACAGTGATCACATTAACTAGACCATTCATCCACTTCTTCTTTCTTTATTGCTATCAGCAGAACTTGTGGGGTGAAAGATGTTGTGTTTCACAATTATCACATTCAAATCTGTTATAAAATGTCCCATTTTCCACTCCTATATATCAGGATGAACAATTCACAAAAGCTCACAAAAATATAACAATAATCTTTATATATACCACCTTTCATGTTGGGAGGACATCTCAAAACAATCACGAGATTTTACCGTAAAGTGCAGCAACCATGTGTTTTGTAGACAAACACGGATGTCAATTTGCACACAGCAATGTCCCACAAACAGTCATGAAGTGAAACCAACAATTTTATCTTGGAAATTGTTGGTCAGGACACTGAGAGAAACTCCCTTCTCTTTTCAAATAGTGCCATGAGATATTTTTAACGTCCACCTGAATTAGGCAGATGGGTCCTAGGTTTAATGTCTGATCTGAAAGTCGGCGCCTACAACAATGCAGCAAACCCCAGCATTCCACTGCTGTGTCAGGCTCATTTATGAAAATTTAAAGTCTCAATGTAAGGCTTTAACAAACAATCATCTGACTCAGAGACAAGAGTGCTACCAACTGAGCCAGGCTGACACTTCATATCAACAGTCTATACAAGTGGATAATATCACACATATGCAGTTGTTTTGTGTTGTTTCTTGGTGTTGTTTTGGGGCAGGCTGTCACTTGCTGGAATTGCTTGCCAAAAAGGGTGAACGTCACTCATTGTCACAGACTAGTGCTTCTCTCAGCTGACCATGAAGCAATGTCAACTGTGGCCCTGGAGAAATTCACAGCCTTGAAACGTACAGGTCTTACACACCAGCCTGAAGGGGCAGAGAGGCAGAGTAAGACCTTTCTAAATTTAAATTTCTAAAAATAAATCCATTGCCAAATGAGTTATTGAGTGACATTAAGAACATAGAACAGTAACTAAACCATTCAGTCCGTCAAGTCTGTTCCAGCATTTTATTACATTATAGAAGATCTTTTAATACCATTTCCCTGCCTTTTCTCTGTATCCTTTAATACCCTTAATCCCCAAGTATCTATCTGTTTCCCTTTTAAACATCCCAATCAATTTGGCATCTACAGCCTTGTAGGGAGCTATGTATTTCATTGGGTTTGTACAGGGTTAAAGCATAGTGTTCAGTGGGTACAATTTTATAACAGGGAAAATGAAGGCATTCGTTATAAACTAAACTTTGACTGGGCATAGATCATAAAAAATAAAGTAATTTACAAGCTCAGCTGCTAGAACAAGTGGTCACGCTGTGAAGAGCTATAACCATAAAGATATTATGGGGACGAGGCAATGAAACATCAAATCCTTGACAAATATTAGCAACACATATTGTGCGGGCTCGGCCATTATTATCGTTATTAGGGTTCCACTGGGATTCAAGTGGAGGAAGAGGTAACAAATGGAAGCCCTCTGACCTTTTGAACTGCAAACTTCGGGGCTCATTTGGAACTAGTTTGTGGCTCAGTTTAATAAATAAAAACATTGTCAACAACCCCTAATACCACATCAGCTTTTCTGTCGTCAAGTTCAGTGGCAGCTGGTAGATATATTGGCTGCACCTGAAGAATCTTTTTCAAATGGGAACAATTCTATGACGTCGAGTCCTTTGGTATTTAATGATGTCTAAGAGATGGGAACATGCTTTGGTCTATGGTCTGCTTAGATAAATGAATATACCCAAAGAATGAGCTGCATTCCTTTCAGCAGTACAGGCTTTACATGTCAATAGAGTCTTGATAGCGGTAAAATTTGAAGGAAAGAAAAGCGCTCAGTGGGTGATGGCTGTCGAGACAAAATGCCTTTTAGTCGGCTGCTGTAACCAAGGTACTCCATCTGCTTGCTGGAACCTACATCCTAATTAACATGCTCACTGTCCTCTATTGTCCTTGTATGTAGTGCTGAACTTGCTGAGCTGAATAGCTCTCCAGTGGGCGTGCTCCTGTTTAATCGACACCACTACTCTTATTTGAGGACAGATCAATCACCCAATGATGAAAGTAATGGAAGTGTGCCAGGGATACAATGATGGGAATAAACAAACTTGTCTCTTTCTTTGGACAGCGCAGTTACTTGCACTGGATTGTGTGCGAGCAGAAAAGGAGTGACTGCAGCCTCGTGATTAAGTGGAAATACACAAGGGTTTGACTTCACTTGTTTGTGTGGAGCAGTGAAACAAACAGCAGTAAAGTCTCAGTAATGTGGAGTCCAGCTAGGTAACCAACACTGTCAGGTTAAGGCAGCAAAGCATTGAGCTTTACACAGCTAAACAAACAACAGGCCTGAGCTCTTACATATTACTGACATGGTACCACCAAAACTTGCAACTAGCTATCCAATTAACGTTCTGTTGTCTTTCTGCCTCTCAGATATACTGAGGCTCCTGTAAAAATAATCATGTGCTGAAGTGTACATGTCATGTACTGACCAGATCCTGACTGCTGCCCCTCTCTCACACCAGTGCGTGCTTTCATGCCAGGGAACAACTCTAGCACTTTGGATTAATAGTGGTTACCATTCATAAACTGGTGCAGTATGAGGGACAATGCGCATATTCTGTACAACGCAACTTGTACAGGATATGAATTCTATAACATTTTATGTATGTTGGGTTCTGGTGTAAAGCTGAATTCAATAAAGCTGCATATCATCATCTACACTCCATAGGGAACCTCCACAGCTGATCTGTTCTTTGCAATTGTAAGTTTAATATGATATGCAGGATAGGTAAAAAATGTCACTAAGATGTGGTTCAGTGCTAAATACCTGAGACTTTAAACCCTGACTCCGTCCCTGGTCCATGCTGAAATTGGTGATCTCAGCTCTTGTCGTGATGGTGGTGCTAAGATTGGTGAAAGGACCAGTAGGCAGGGGAGACATCAGACAGGATTCCCACTCTAGGTTACTATTCAGTAATCCTTTTTGGACACTGCCTTTGTGTGGACAATGGGTGAAGAGAGTATTGGGGTTGGCTGTGAGCAGTCTTGAGGTGACCGAACAAATAATCTGGGGGATGTTTGACCAATACTTGGCATCTTTTGAAGCAGTGTCACAGGATCTTTAAACTCCACCTTCAACCAAAAGTACTGCCAAAGGGATCCTTTATGTCCTCAGGTTGTGGGTTCAAGCCCCATGCTGGGACTTTGAATTCAGTGCCTACGCTGACTCTTCAGTGCAGTGTTGGGAGTGCCATGCACTGTTCATAGTGCCATCCTTTGGATGAGGCGATAAACTTAGGTCCCGTTAGCCTATTCAGGTGGGCGTTAAAGCTCCCATGGCACTATTCGAAAATAAAATGGAGTTTCTCATGGTGCCCTGGACAACAATCCCCAAAATAAAATAAGTCATTCACTTCATGGCTATTTGTGACACATTTCTTTGTGCAAATTGACTGTGTTCAACTATACTTATACAGTATATCATGTGAAGCGCTTTGAGATGTTCTCCCAGTGCTATATCAAATGAAGGATAATTATTAATATTATACAGTGTCAGAGGTAGAGACAGCAAAGGGAAAAACAATGCTGAGGCACTCAGGTTTACTGATATCTAACCACAGCTGGGGTTCGAGGGTTGGGCTAACATTGACAGATAAATTGCTGAAATAATAAAGAACAAAGGCCCACAGAGTCTAAGAAGGGACAGAAATCTAGACCCAGGAGTGTAGTTTATCTAAGCGTGTGTCACTTGCAGATAGTGTTCCCACCCAACTGGTTTCTAACCAGAACAGCTGCTTTTTTTCTGGCTTAAAAATCCCTCTTGGGAAGAGGACGTGTGAGTAATGGATAAGGAAAGTGGCAGGGGCACAGGAGAGGAATGATTGGTCCATGGAAGATAGAAAGGCCTGAGGTAATGGATTTAGGGTTAGGGGAACTGAGGGGGTGAGATTTTTAGTGTTTCATTATGTGTTCCAAGTGATAAATATCCCATCAAATACTTTTCAAAAGGCTACAAATTTGTACAATTCAGTGATGGCCTCAGTAACCATTCCCCTGATGCATTCGTGCTGAGATCGGGTGCTGTTTTTACAACATTGTGGGGCCACCTTGGAAATGCTGAGTGTCTGGCCTTCTTCAATTCAATAGTAGTGTTGAGGTAGTAATTAAATGCTGCTTTCACAGGTTACTGACTTCATTCAGTAGCTGAATACCTTCTTCATTTGTACTCAAATGATGATCCCGGTGATTG